GCAATGATGTCTCGTAGTATCTTCTAATAATATGCCTACCCAGACAATTGGTCCCGTGGAAAAGAACTGCTATGATGTATCACCATGGATGTATTCTACAGAACTAAACGTGTCATTCAGTGAACATAGGTTACACAGCCACCTATGTTCAACACAGCAAATATTACAAGGGTTACAAGAAATACATCTACATCTAAAGCCATAGTGAACAGAATAGTAAAGATCTAAGCAGAAAATAAGTTCTAAAAACTAAATGATAACAGTATTACTAATACTGACGCATATTACAGAACAAACATTATTCTACGTTTAGAGGTGTTCATTTATACACTATAATGTCTGAACACAGACAGCTAATCCATCAACATTGCCCTTCAACTTTGTAAACATAAAATAAAATTTAAACTGAAAAAATGTGTGAAAAATCAACAGGTTTAGTATCAACAGATATATGACTCTTAAAATGATTTTTGTGGTTTTTTAGTTTAAATTTTTCAGTTTGCAAAACAAAGTAAATACAATTTTTTTTGAAACAATATTTACAGTAGCAGTACATGTACGTCCATGACCACACCTATATACAGTCTATATCTGCTAATCAGTTCTACAACAGCTATATACAATCTACATTTCTTTAATCAATGCCACCATTATGGCAGGAACCATCATCTAAATACAGAGACAAATGGCTAACGACAATGTATATATGTGTACCACATCATATGAATACACACATTCAGTTTCACTTTAATTATTTTACTCCAAAACTTAAAAATAAAAGATGAAAATACCTATTTGCTCTGTAACATTAGATAAGTGTAAAATTAAAACAATCTTCTTAAGACTACAAATTCAGGGAAAATTTAAAGCTAATTCTGATTTAAATATTTTTATGTGGTTATTTTTTTGTTATTAAGCAAAAGAATGTATTTACATATTCTGCAGGCTGTTTAAGCAGATTTGCAGAGTATGGGGAGTGTCATTAAAAACATTTTAACAGAGTGGCTTTTCTTGTCTGACACTTCATATCTCAGCCAAATCAAAGTCATAACTATCTACAGAATTAATTTACATACAAACAGACATGTCCAAATAAACATGTGACATTTTAACAACTTCCTTTTCACGTTGGTCTCTGTGGTCTCACAGCAAATACAGTTGCCAAAACAACTGACCTGAGTAGACCTTGACGACAAAACAAGAATTGCAGTGCACAAAAGGTACACTACATGCATTTTTTAAGACATGATAAATAGGTCTAATCAAAACAAATCATCATATATTTAGGACAACATCATCAGAATTCAAACAGGAAAATATTCAATCTCTTTTGAACAGATAGAAAACAACCAGTTTGGTTAAACATACATACAAATATGTTTAACTCAAACATAATCATTACAGATAATCCCTTGATAAAGAATATATAGGGTACAAAAAACAAAGGTGGAGGTCTTAACAGCTTTAAGAGCAATAAAAGTCCCCGGTGTATATGGGACCAGAGAACACTTTCACTACTAATCAAATAACAACTAGTTGCACTTTTTGTCTATATTTCACTCTGATAACAAGACTGAATAGGAAAAATAAATGCTATTTTCTAGGAAACATATTCAATATCCTAAATTACTTCAAAAAAATAATAGTATGCAAACCAAACAGTACGAATTTACATATTTGAAATAATATGTTCAGTTATTGTTAAAATATAGTTGTAACAGTCAAGTCTACAGTTTTTCTCACTAAACTTAACAGTGAAGCAATAACACCAATAAGGCCTAAAAGCTACAAAGCCACTTCATCTATACGCAGTTAAAACAGTTCCAGCAAGTGCAAGATATCGAGTGTTATACAAAAAATATGAAAAACATGTAAAAATACTTCAAATCTTTCATGAAATGAAGCAAAATGCAAAACCAATTTTAAAATTGTGTTAAAATTTCAGTGAAGATGAGGTAGGCTATATCTAAGGTAGTGATTTGTGACACACTCATTCAGTACTGAGGTACATACAAAAATAAAATGTATTCCATACAGAAGATGTTCCCTACCCAATCCAAATGTTGCCAGTGATGTGCTTGGATTATTAAAATTAGTTCAACAAAGGACCTTAACGACAAAGCAATTTGAAATTCATCAATAGTATTAACTATTTTACAAGTTATGCTTACAAACAAATCCTTAACTGATTAGATAAAGTCAAGGGATATTCATAATTAATTTGGAGCATAGAATATTTATAAATGTTGACATGAATTTTGTTGGCTTATCTCCCTTTGACCATAACGTTCCCAGCAGAAATGATATGACATCAAGACATGAGGTAGGCTGAATGAACTTGAATCATTCATAATGAATCTGTTTTGACATACATAATTCTTTCTGAACTCTGCTATAAGCTTCAATGCAAAAACAGTTCAATTTTCACTCAAATACTTTATCTTCGAACTCTGAAAAATAAAAATGGAATTTGTGAAGTGTTTATTACATAATTTCAGTGTTGTTAGATACCAAAGCATTCTATAGAGCACAGGATATATTCCATGATGGAAAAGCATTGCTAGTTCTAAAGCACAACTGACATGAATAGAAAACACAAGAACCTTTAGCACAGACAAATCCACTGAGAATTAACTACTTGTTTTTGAAACCATATTCAAATTTTAACAGCTTTTCTGGTGAGTTTATAAGGGGAAGTTAACCATCACCTCCTTGGCCTAATATATCTGGACCACAATTCTCACGGAACGTTTTAAGGGATCCAAAAATAACAAACAAGTAATCACTGGTTCAAAGTCGACAAATAAAACACAATACTGATGAGTTACATTCTCTATCCGATATCCGCCAACATCAGCTGATTACACAATACCTAATTAGTACCTTTCCACACCAATAACCTCTGACCAGCTATAACAACGACCGGTCGATTAGCACACTAAATATCTATGATGATACTGACATGTATGGTTGTTACATTATTGTGAACACAAGCGGCAATGTGTAATCCTATTGTTTCCAATGAGCACCAATGTTTTCTTGCTAGGCATAACTATGGTAATAGTGAAGTAATAAATGCTACCATTTCAGGCAAAAATGCATATTGTATGTAAAAACACATCCATGCTTAAAATATGGGTATAACTAAAACATTACATCATACATTGCATTGCAATCATAAAATATTGGCCTAAGACATAAAGTTGTGTTACTTCAGATTTATTTGATCGGTGGACACAAAGTGGAGTCAAAAATAGTTGAGAGTTATCTCCCCTTGCAATGGTTAAATCAAGCCCCTCACAGGGTTATCGCCTACTAAAATGGAGCTTGCAGGCACATCACCACAGCCTAAGTATAAGTTGTTTCAAACTAGAGCTGCATGAAACGGTTCTGTAAATACAGTTGCCTTCTACACTGTAATTGATTCCATTACAGTCATCCATGGTATGATAAGTAATTGATTGTCCATGAAATGACAGTAAAATGTCAAATACAAGTTAAAATTTAGCACTGGTTGACATTAATACTGTGCTTGTCAACTCATGGTTTCAATGGACATAAACTTGCTTTCAGTCAAAGACTTTAAAAGCTACCCTTTTCATCCTCTGAAAACATCAAAACTGAACTAAAGAAATATTTGGGATGTGTTAGGCTTTACTTCATGTAGAATACTATTTGGAGCGTTAACCTTAGAGTACTGTTGCAACAAAGGTACAAGTTATTCCACCTGTTGCAACAAAGGTACAAGTTTTTCCACCTGTTGCAATGGAGGTACAAGTTATTCCACCTGTTGCAACGGAGGTACAAGTTATTCTACCTGTTGCAACAGAGGTACAAGTTATTCTACCTGTTGCAACAGTGGTACAAGTTATTCTACTTGTTGCAACAGAGGTACAAGTTACTATACCTATTGCAACAGTGGAACAGATTATTCCACCCAATGCAACAGTGGTATAGGTTACACCACATATTGCAACAGTGGTACAAGTTACAACAACTTATTGCAATAATTTTGTAAAACTGTTTTAACAATTGCAAAAGTAACAATGCACTGTCCCCTCTAGCATTTACCCCCCATTTTGAGATGCCATGAAACTATCAGAATCAAACTTTATACAGACTATATTTATTGTAAACTACTGACAAGTCACATGCGAGACATAGGTCAGACATATCAGCAGACAATCTGTCCTCTGAGCAAACAGCAGTGTTCCAAGACCTCTTTCACCTAGTAGTTGTAGGATGACTGAAATAATTTTATAACTTTTATACACATTCGCAATGGTCGTTGTGCTGAGATCATTTAGAAAATGGCCCAAAGCTTGGAAGCAAAATTTGGAAATGAGTTTAATTCATAGAGAAACATGATAAATGGATTTCAAACTAAGTTTTCTTACACACAACCTGAGTTCCAGATAAACTGTGTATTTGTGTAAAATATGTAAAATAAATCACCATTACCCAATTAATAAACCCAACAGTATAACACCACTCTTAGTAATTTTCAAATATATTCTTTTCAAAATATCAGTATTTCTTTCCAGATGTTTGTCCACGAACTGTTAACCAGACACATGTGAATAATCTGAAGCCCTGCACAGTTCTGAGGTTAACCTACCCTGTCATTATTCCACCAAGGTGTCCTCCATAGATCTGTGTCTCTGTGAACTAACTGATTCCATATAATCTGCTTCCATTTAATTGTTTACAGTTTCATGTAAAGGTTTCTTAATTTTTATCAAAATATTTCTCACAAAATGCCTTAATAAATTGCAGGTAAAACTACACTTTGCAACATGGCTTTACATATGGAGATTATCAAAAAGTAGTATTATTACAATCAAGTTGATATTTTGTCATATCAATACATTTGGGTTTCATTTTCTTGCATGAAAATCTAGACAACCTGTGAGTGTGTATTTATTTATTTCACAGCACGAGATTCACAAACTTGACCACACTCTGATAGAAACTCATCCAATCATAATTACAGAAAAATATTTCGTAAGTACAATCTGTTTATTTCTCTAATGTAATGGATGCTCCCAGCTCTGAGCCTAGATACTAGAACCAGAACTGGGTACACACTGTCATCGGCAATACTGCACAGGTTTGTACACACTCTACCTGTCGCCATCACTTGTCAATACAGTCACACATTTAATAGTGTAGATGCTATTTTTAATGAACAAATCGAACCTGAGCCGATTCCTGCTGACAACCAAAGACTCTCACCAATCAGTATACAAACAGACAACCAGTACATTGCAAGAACGGAAATATTTCTCATGCAAGATATGCCACAATATGTCATCTTTCTGTTCTGCTCATTGCTTAGTATAAGGTGAAACCGGTGAATCAACATAACACTGCATATCCACCATTTGCATTCACATGTGATGGGCAGTTGTAGTGTCTACAAACCTGTAAAGTGTTCACGCGTACGATATGCCAATACCACACTCCAATCATAATGAAACATTATAATTTCAATAAAGATGACAATCATATATGAAATAATAGCCACCGTCTTCAGCTCCTCTGGAATTCCTCTTGCATGATGCTAGCTGGAGCTGGTGGATGTTACTTGTTTTCAAAACTTGTTCCGGAACATCAATACTTTATCATTCAGTCCTCCATGTTGCCGTGTTTTGCTGTTATTTGCTCTTCCTTTGTTTATTTGTTGCTGTTTTGTGATGTGGTGGACATAGTTTTGCGTTGCTCTGCTACAGAATCACAGAGCACGGACACAACGCTCATCAATGAGAACTTGCCTCCCCTGATGTCGACGGTTCCTCGGGCTGCGGCGGTGACGTCTTCCCCTCCTCCTCTTCCCTCTACAACAATAGCAATTATCATCATAAATGCGAGTGAGTGAGTGAGTTTAGTTTAACGCCGCACAAAGCAATATTCCAGCTAAATGGTGGCTGTCTGGACCAGACAATCCAGTGATCAACAGCATGAGCATCGATCCACGCAAGTGGGAACCAATGACATGTGTCAACCAAGTCAACAAGTCTGACCACCCGATCCCGATAGTCCCTCTTACGACAAGCATGGGTTACCGAAGATCAATTCTAACCCGGATCATCACAGGTCGAGTGAGTGAGTGAGTGAGTGAGTGAGTGAGTGAGTGAGTGAGTGAGTGAGTGAGTGAGTGAGTTTAATGTAGGAGAAAAGTTGTCAGTGATACAGCTCATTGACCTTTAGAATTTTGATGAAACCCACAGACCTACAGTGCTGACAACAACAGAGTCATAAACTGTCTAAATCCCAGATCTGACCCCACAATCATCTGGTTAAACTAAGGGACACAACTCGGCACAGTGAACAATAAAATAAACAGGAAAAACTCCTAAAATTAATTTTTACCATAAAAATTCTTTTAACTTCTAATTTAATATTGATAAAATATGAAACTTGTCTCATTCTATAAAAAACAAAACTATTCTTTCCCAGGTATAGCAGACATTTCAAATACATATCTTTAATAATCTTCCTATTAATCATAATTTCATTTAACAGATTCCTCCAGGTATGACGTGTCTCACTCAGACCCAGCTTACACAAACAGCGCTTGTCATGTCGACAACTGTCAACAGCAAGGCACTTTCAGCCATTAACGTCCACTTGGGATGGTTTAGAGGAGACTCATTCCACATGTGTGAGATACCTGAATGTAGTATTACCTCCCGGAACATACATTCATCACCGTGCTCCTCTGAACATTATACCTATCACTTGCTGCTCACTTCTCATCAACACCTTATGGAAAAAATCATGCCTCATTTTTGTTGTTCTGAACAATATAACATCTTGTCATGCGTATGGCAAAATACAAAACCAAAATTCGCAATGAGTGAGTGAGTGTAGTTTTACGCCGCTTTTTTAGCAATATTTCAGCAATATCACGGCGGGGGACACCAGAAATGGGTTTCACACATTGTACCCATGTAGGGATTCGAACCCGGGCCTTCGGCGTGACGAGCGAACGCTTAACCACAAGGCTACCCCCCCCGCCCCCGCAATGATAATACATGAGCATCATTATATATCTTAGTTATTGTTGTTTTTAATTGGGTACCACACAACTAGTACTGACCAGTGTCAGCCCCAATACCCAAAGCATGCTTACGCAAGTTGAAATCTGTTTTATCCTTTACACAAAAAATACGTACCATTTCGATACAAATGTATACACATGGAAAAAAGTAGCGCAACACCTATTATTTTTTAACCCTCATTTTTAAAACCATTTATACTCATACCATAATTATGTTTGTTTAGTTATTTTGACCATCACACATGGATTTTAGATTGATCATGTGCTATGATCAAAGGCGAGCATGATATACAATACATGTACTCGTAATTAAGCATATATCAAGTAAAATTAGAATTAGATCTTCAGCAACCATGTTTGTGGTAAGAGGCAACTAACAGATGGGTGGTCAGGCTCGGTGACTTGGTTGACACGTCATCGTATCCCAATTGTGTAGATCGATGCTCATGCTGACAACTGGATTGTCTGGTCCAGACTTGATTATTTACAGACTGCCGCCATATAGCTGGAATATTGCTAGAGTCATTAAACAACAAACAACATCATACATATCATCTTTAACAGTGCAGTGTGCAGGTGTCAGTTCTTGGTGTTATTCCGATGTTATCACTTTGTAAAAATAAACTCACTCACTCACTTATCTCTAGTCTGTCTCACAGTCCCTGAACCACATTAATTTCCCTACTGCCAAGCCCTCTCTGCTGTGCTAAAGCCCTAAATAAAGCAAGTCTAGATTTCCTCAGGTTCTGAATCTCTGGTCTCCCTTGGGCTCCTTATCAATATAAATGGGCTTGTTTGTTACTATCAAAATTATATATATTCAGAGACTAAGCCTTAGTCTAACTTATCTCTAACATATATGAACTTTTATCAGTTTACCTATTTATATATTTATTTATTTAAAAGAAATATACAATAAAATGACAAACCCCAAAAGAAAGCTATATCTGAATTTTAGATGAAATATTCGCTTACTTCCCCGTCTACACCCATTCCATGAATCCTCTGTTCATTACACAGAAACAACAACAACCAGCACTTCCTAAAGACATTTCAACTGACCCCATCACAGAAGCGTAACCTTAAACCAGCACAATCTAATTTTAAACATATATCACAAAACATCAAACACCCCACATCAAAGCGTCTTCACGGCTCACTTTCCAGAGAGGTGCCACTAACCCCCATTTATACACTTACAAACACTACCAAACATTTGTAGGGGGCTCATTGCTCAAGATAACAAGCTCAATTGGGCAAATACCAAGAGGCCGTGTAAATCATGGTAGTCTGAACGCTCCAAGTTAGTGTCACGCTACATTGAGAGCAAGCACCTGTTATTCAACTTCTTGACCCAATGACCTCTCGTGAGCCCCGGACTACCGTGAGGTCAAGAGAGCAGCGTGTGGTATGATGCTGGTCAGGAGACCCGTCACCTCGGTGTCAGCGGTGTCCAGTGTAAAAGGCTGGGTAAAGAGTACAGGAATCCTCGGTACAGTTTACCCCGAGTTCGGATTAATATAATGAAATAATACGTATATACCCCTTTTACTCTCAAACACCTCTCTATTGATGTCTGTAATTCTCAAACATTCTTTGTAGACCATGCAGATTTGAAAAGAAAAACAGACAAAATTTCCTTATTTCAGTCAGTGTTTGACAGAACTTGAGTTCGAGAGTAGAAGACTAACTTTTCTGTATTTGGCAGAGTCAGATGGACAAACAGCTATGATTAACTTATATAATCTAAAATCCCGAATCAAACAAAAACATTTTCTTGGGAAAACAGAGGACGAACAACCGATCGTGTTTTGAGGGTAACTGTCATCTTATGTTTTGTTCTTGCTGGTTTTGTGCTTTCACTTTTGCCATATATCTATTTGTTTCGCTTGAAATGTACCCATTTGTCTATATATAGTGTCGTGTGATGAGAGGGTGGCTGCAAGCGTTTGTCATGAGTATTGTAATGTCTTCTTATGTCTAAGAGTACCGCCGATGTGACGTTAAATAATAACTCACTCACTCTAAGAGTACCGCCGTACTGTGATATCTGAGTGATTGAGTGAGTAAAGGTTTACACCACATTTAGCAATATTCCAGCAATATCACTGTGGGGGAGACCAGAAATGGGCTTCACACATCGTACCCAAGCGGGAATCGAACCCGGGTTTTCGGTGTGACAAGCGAACGCTTTATCCACTAGGCTACCATATATGCTAACTACACTGCACACAATTTACGTATACTTTAGATAAATATTTGAATTCATTCAAATTAATTCCATTTCACCTCCTAATTAAAAATAGGAAGTCATGATCCCGCCAGTGCAGCGGTTACATATTCTCAAGCAGAAACACACATACGAAACACTTCCACTTATAATCTCCAAATTCAGATTCAATGTCTGTTGTTGAGTTGCGTAGTAAAGACACAGGAGGTCTTGATCTCGTACTACGATTTTACAATCACAACCCAGTATTACTTAACTCCCCCTCACTAACTGGGTAAAACAGCCCGCCAGCTCGGGAGAATCCCCCTCCCTTTCATCTAACGCAGTTATGACTCACTTTACATAATAGGTCCATTTAGACTAACAAGAGACATATTTCACAGGATTAAAACCAGCCAATTGCCTGCATGAATATTCTAGCGTTTGTTTTATTAGCAGTTCAGATTCCCAGCATATTCACAAGTTTGCATTGGACGCAGTTCTTCCCCTTTTAATGCCCCTTCAAGAACGGAAGTGTTGACACTGGATCTACGAAACAGTGTTTCTCCGAGAATCTGTGAGTCAGTTTTACACTAGGCGCGTTATTTCTTAGAACGTGATGATCTCGAGTAACAACCAGCTGTGAGAAAACAGTGGTCGACAATATGAACAACGACCGAATGACACCCAACCACCAATTTCACACATTGTAGCTATTCCGTACTACTCCAGTGACACGACAAGATACAGAGAAGGCGCTTCGCATTGAACCTAAATTCATTATATCAATCACTGGTTTGTCTGGTCCAGACTCGATTATTGACAGACTGACGTCATTTAACTGGTATATTGCCGAGGACGCCATTTAATTGCAAACAATATTCTGTCACATACGTTCCGCTGAGCGATATTATAACAATTACAACATAATCTATAAAATTCTCTTCGCGAGTTGTATGTTTGGTTGTTTGTTTTGTTGTTTTGTTGTTTGTTTAACAATATTCTGTGACACACTTACATATTTCCTTGGTCGTCCGCGTGGTCTCTTTGGTATATTCATTCTCTGAAAAATAAATACGGACATTTCTTCATAAATTTTGTCAACATTTAGAAGCGTGAATTGTACGAATACATTGTTGAAATAGCAGGTTGTACATACTGAGTTGGCAATAGCTGTGTCGGCTTAAGGAAAGGACGACCTTTCCTAGTGCTCGACACATCCGAGTGTCAAGCTCATTCAGAGCACCAAAGGAGTGAGTTAGTTTGCTTTTACGCCAGCAATATTCCAGCAATATCACGGCGGGGGACACCAGAAATGGGCTTCACGCGTTGAACCCATATGGGGAATCGAACCTGGGCCTTCGGCGTGACGAGCGAACGCTTTAACCACTAGGCTACCCTACCGCCCCCAGCACAAAACGAAAGATCTCGTACTTAACGTAATACAAGAAATATAAGGTGATAAGTAATTCAGAAAAAAGTTCACATACCTAATTCAGTTCGACTTTGAAACATTTTACACTTGTATTTTCTATATTTGCTACAAAATACGCACGAGAAGTTGCCACAAGCAAGAATCCGACACAACGGAGTTCAATACAACGTTGCTCAACCGTAGGGACATTGAAGATGAATGATTCACCCATCAGCACAGTACACAGAGTGAAATGAAATATATCCCGTACTCACTGTACTTCAAATCAAGCGTTTTGCGTTTTCTTGTGAGTGAGTGAATGAATGAGTGTGGTTTTACGCCGCTTTTAGCAAATTTGCAGCAACATCACGGCGGGGGACACAAGAAATTGGCATCACACATTGTACCCATGTGGGAACCCGATTGAACGCTTGAACCACTACGCTACCCCACTGAAGCCTTCTCAAATGAAGCACCTGATGTTTTTCACATGACTATAGTAAATGTGTTATGCACATCCCTTAACATCGACTGTTTGTTATTTACAAGTTCTTTATTACAACAGCATCCTGATATATTATTCACTGAGTCAAGACAAGAAAACAAATATATTTAAGCAGGTCACCGTAAGGATCGAACCTGTGCCAAGTGCGTAACAAATTGTGATACCAAGAGCGTAACGAATTGTGGTACCAAGGGCGTAACAAATTGCGGTACCAAGAGCGTAACGAATTGTGGTACCAAGGGCGTAACAAATTGTGATACCAAGAGCGTAACGAAATGTGGTACCAAGGGCGTACCAAATTGTGGTAGTAAGAGCGTAACGAACTTTGGTGCCAAGAGCGTAATGTACTACGGTTCTACGTGCGTAACGAGATGTGGTACGAAGAGCGTAACGAATTGTGGTACCAAGAGCGTAACGAATTTTGGTACCAAGAGCGTAACGAACGTTGGTGCCAAGAGCGTAATGAACTTCGGTGCTAGGTGCGTAACGAGATGTGGTACGAAGGACGTAACGAACTGTTGTGCTGTTTGTGTAACGAGATATGATACCAAGTGCTTAACGTGCTGTTCCTGTGTACAATGGAACATGGTCGGTTAGGTGGCCAAGCAATCAAAGAGTTCGAGAGTCACTCGTAAGTTCAAGTTTTATTCCGTATATACAATATATGAAACCCATGCCCATGAGATATTAATAATACTGGCGCGAAACCATATTTGCTCACTCGTACAAAGTAATAATGACAAAGGTCCGCAGAGGAATGGTCCATAAGTAGTGTCCCTGTGGAATAGAACTTGGTCAGAGGCGCGACAAGCAAACACTAACCACAGAGCTACCGAACTCCGTGTTTAGAAATGTTAAACGTAATTATGTGTATGTTGCAGTGATGTGACCCCATCCGTTCATTAGGTCATTTGGCATGTCCTCTCATTGCGTGGCCGTATCAAACAGGTGGCGTTAAAGTCACGCGATTCCTCCCCTTCTGACTGAGTATGGTTTTACGCCGTTTTTAGCAATATTCCAGCAATATCACGGCGGGGGACACCATAAATGGGCTTCACAAATTGTACCCATGTGGGGAATCGAACCCGGGCCTTCGGCGTGACGAGCGAACGCTTTAACCACTAGGCTAACACATCCCCCACCAACCCCCGCCCCTTCTGAATGTGACCCCCCCGAAGTTACCAACAGCGAGAAGCGTGTTGAAACGGCGTTTCAGGATTGAAAGAAGTTCACCCACCCATACAGTAGCGTTTGTGTGAGTTAACCTCTTTAACCCAGTGGTTAATGTGCCTCTTCATGTCAATAACATGGGTTCGATTCCCTACATGAGTACAATGTATCAAGGGGAAGAGAGTATGTATCGTATACATATATACTGATCAAAAAAGTAACGGATCATACATATTTTCGGGATATTTTTGGAATGTGAATTGAGGACATAATTTCACCAAATATCCCCGAAAATATTCATTAACATAACTCTTTAAGTATATATGTATCACAGATCTTGCAACGACGCTGCAGAAAGCCGAGATATCCTCAACTCGTAGTCCTCAAGTGTCATCCATGCATGGGTCGTCAAATCTCAAGCTTTTCATTCAGTTCAGTCTGTCAGTCGACCGTGACCTTGAGTGAGATATCTACACATTTGTGAGAAATCCAAGGCTACCGTCACCTGCTGGTGGATGCCCATTATACACCTAACGTCACCCTTACTGCAGTACTCGGCGAGATTCCTCGCCCTCAGCTATTTGCGTGGGCGTACAAAAGTTAGAAAACATTCTGTATTTCGCTTATGTATCACACTGTCACGAGGGTTTAGCTGCCACCCCCTGAAATTCCCTCCTTTATCGAAACCAGTCCTACACGACCCTGCAGAGCCAAAAAACGTTTGAAAAAATATGTGGGCCACAATTCAACATTTGAACTTAACGACCCGTTACTCCACTGGATCCATCGGACAAAAGATGGGGATCTGACGAGAACTTGGTCTGTGTGACATAAATAAGCATTCCTAATAGAAGGAAGACGGTAATTTTCAAATCCTTTTTGCCTGAAACATTTCAAACACTGTAAATAAATTGGACTGGGAATGTTTTTTTATTGTAAATTATTGACAACACAGTAACTGAGTGTGTTGGGTTTTCGCCGCTATTAGCAATATTCCAACAATATCACGATGGGGACACCGGAAATGGGCTTCACGCATTGTGCCCACGTGGGGAATCGAACCCGGGCCTTCGGTGTGACGAGTGAACACTTTAACCACAAATTAAGAATACAGACCCGAAACCCAAGACTTATAACCCCGGTGTTTAAATAGTTCGATCAACATGGCGAAAACACTGGTTTGATCCCCTCGTAAACATTACCTGAAAGGCCAACGGGGTCCTTGACTAGTGATGGTCATTGGTTGAGAAAAGAGGCGAATAATCTTAGGTTTGAATACACGCATCCAACTGACGCTATATCCTATATATAATATACTAGTATTATGATTAAAATCAATATATACGCGTCTTCTATATACTGTTGAGGAAATGAAAGTATACACCCATGTGTGATGGTGGCTTAAGAAGAAACAAGAAATGGGTATCGGATGGTTATGTGTTTGATACGGGCATCACAGGCGTTAATACATGTATCGGATCAATGGGATCTAACTGGTGACGTTCACATGACGTCACAAAAGACATAGAGTCGAGTTTAACAGGACACGGTAAGGACTGAATTGTGAATTTCCAAGTGTATACTTTCTTTTGGCCGGCAATTTAGGTGTGATCCCACTGTGAGTGATCCTTGACGATCGGGTGGCCACAATGGCTGCTAATCCATGTATGCGTGGATAAACTCTGGTCGACGCTGAAGACGCTGATTATGAGATGAAAAGGGTTTTTCGGGTCCAGTCCTTCATAAATCCCAGTCTCAAACAAACCTAGCGTCACCAATCAAGACATCGTCAGTTTGGGCAAGTTAGGGGCATCTCAGGTACGACTTCTCCACTGTGCAGCGACTTTGTCACTCCTTACAACGACGCTGTGCTAATATAGGCTGGTTCTAGTCTGTAACTGAGCTGCATCACTTTTCATTTTCACCTGCTACGTCAGTCCCAAAGTTAAGATATATATCTTTTTTCTTATTTGTGATCTACATCTGTTATCTTAATATAATATACCCCTATCATGGATACATATTTCTACATAACTAATATTCTAATTTTCTCTTTTCTATCTCTTCTGTTTTAAAACGGACATCTGATTGCACCACATTAACTTGAGATGTGTTAGAATGCTATCGTCCTATGTGAAATGTCCGGTATATGGAGGTCCAAATTAAAGAGGTAGACACGACAAATGAAAATAAGTCTTATTACGCCCCCTGAAATAGTCACCCGATATCATCGAAATTGTGTGCTGTTTGAAACAAGATATATCACAGAAAGCGGTTAAGAAATCCCTTTTTTCAACATCACGTGACTTAAAGTTTCCTTGTTCGGTTTATCATATACCAGGATTACTTGACCTGGTAACACCCCCATAATGCGCATGCTCATGCACAACGGAGACAAATGGAATGCATTTGAGGGAAAGAACGGGTTTCGTTATAATGGCGAATACATCTGCACCAGCACCGCGCGGGGTATACCCCTCACGACCGACCAGACTTCCTTCCAGGAACATTTCATAATCGTTTTACTTCTAGAACGCAAAAGCAAAGTTCGGATCCACATGATTATCTATTTATAAATACATTTTTATCTATTGATTTCAACATTTAGAAAATTTAGCTCAATTTGCGTATTTACTTTTTGCTATCGTATCGAAACAATTTGCAATTTTAATCACAATACGTTTTCGACCTATTCGGCTGCGGTTTAACGAATCGGGTAGATACAACAATTATAACCCGGATTGTCCAAGATAATATATTTTGTTGAATAATGAGTAACAGCGTGTGGTAGTTATGTATGGAGCGTGTATGAAGCGTGCATATGAACCGAGATGCTGTGTTTAACAGTACTAAGTAGGACATGACATCTTGCAGGTGAAAATGGATTTCAAGTAGGTTCGCCGTGATCGCTAGATTGTGTAATTCATTCATAAACTGACAAAAACGAATGCATTGCATGCTATCCGATTAAAATATATTTCAAAAGCACTTTTATGATTTAACAAATACGTTTTGGGTACACCTGCGTCAGCTCAAGGTTACAAAGCTCGTGCAACTATATCTCATTATGACAAGAAAATACACCACGCCGGTGTATTTAAGCAGCACAGACAAGCACCTGCCCAAAGTTTTCTAATCTATGTACAAACTGTGCTTGTATTGCATATTAGTTGACAAGTATGTCGGTCTTTGTTGAAAGCGACATGCTGGCTGGTGTGATGTGTCATATATATCGCCACTGCTGACAGTACACAGACAACTACCACCCCCATCTACCCTACACAGCTTCTCTCCACCCCCTCCCGTCATTACAACTACTCCCGCCCACCCACCACATATCGAGCACGTGGGTCTCGCTTTATAGATAGCACATGACCAACAATCACATGGGGGGTACAACCCACTTTCCACAGGCTTAAGAATAGCATTCCTCGAAAAAGGGTCGAGAAACAACCCGCCAAGTGGAGTACACGATAAGTCATTCATAAGATGCGCTGGTGGGTAGAAGGTCTTTGATGAGTGGGTGCATTAAAGGTAGAGTTTCGCGTGCGAGGGGAGAAACTACGCTGCAAACGAGACTTCACCGAGAACATCCCTAAACAAATGCTGGTCGCATCGACGAATTCCGCAGCGTCGAACAAACTTCACCGCGACGTTAACCACGCCAGCCGAACGCAGCGCGGTCAGTGAACTTTGGTGACACATTGAAATAAATTAGTACAAATCGTCCATAATTGTTATCATGCGACTAAAGAATTCGCATTGCTTAGATATTCCGTGCGAAATGGAACTGGGCACACGTGTACCGTTTTCAACGCTGAACAAGCTTGTAACGCGAATACACATATTTTATCTACATAGTGGGATGTAAACGTAACTGTACCAACTTACAGTGATCACAAGGCTTTAAAGAACATTCTTATACATAGTGCAGTTCACATAAGACATAATCCTAAGTCATTAAAGTAACTGGTAACTAGGTATATATTGAAATACCCTTAAAAATCGAACCAGTACTAACACGCACGCACGCACACACACACACATCATACATAGCTGTCTGTGAGGTGTATTAAAGACACGATGGTTGTCAAGGCCGGCGTGTGTGATGACTGAGTGCTCTACTGCTGATCTAGCATACATATTCTTATATACTGTATACAGTCATCTCTGTATGACAGGCTTTAAATCACGCCCATTGACGTATATCTGTGTCACACATGAAATCGGGTTTTGTAAAGAGGTGCTACAATACATGGCATCACGTTTGAACTTACATACTCATATACGCAAACCGTCAAAAAAAAAACCCAAAAGATTATATTTTCAAGTAATAATATTTATGCATTTCATAGGATGAAGTTTACGCAATCACAATAACAATAAAAGCAACTCACCAGTAAAGATTTTGCTGGAGTTTTATTTTTGCTTCCCTTTGGCCTACCGCGAGGTCGCTTTAGCTTTGGTTCCTCTGGCTAAATTAAAAAATACAAATTTGTTTTTTGAATTTTAATATTGTTTGACATCACTGGTCCTTCGATGTATCTTCGAATAACACGAATAAAACAAATCCGCTAGTTTGAAATATTTTGTGTATAGGCTGTACATACAAATATCAATATCCATATGCAAACGTTATTTGTAAACAACAGTTGTATGCAAATACACGTGTTTAGGAAAACAAACGTACTCAATAAACGGGTTATGATATACATTGTCAACATTTTATGCACATACATGTCTCCAACACAACCAACACTTACATCTCATCATTTTATATTAAATTACATTGAGATTATTTAATTGACAGATGTAAATGAACCTATGAGCGTTAACTCACATTGTCATGTTCTTACCTCTGGGGGTTTAGGCTTTCGGGGCCTGCCCCTCTTTTTCTTGGGGGGTTCCTCTTCCCCCTGCCCCCCCTGCGTCTCGGCCACGTCCGCCATGGTGTGGACTCAATGTCCACTAGGTTAAACTGTCCACGCCTGTGTTGAGACTTCGATAGAGAGACGGTTACCTGTATCTAGCAATCCGGCTACCCAACAAACACTGCCAGCCTCGACAGCTGTCAAATAGAAGAAAGTGCTCTTACGGTCGCCGCTCGCAATGAAACTACCCCAACTTGTCTCGTGATCACAGAACCCCCTTTCTCGTGAGTAATCCCAGGGGATGAAGCTGTAGGTGTGTGGGTAGGGGCGATTGGGAAAATCTTCCCGTCTAACTCGACCGCAATGAATGGGGGTTACCCATATCAGCTGGCGCAGTATGACCTCGTTAGGCGGCGCTGCAGTCAAAATAGACGTAGCACAGTGAGCGGGTTTCACGGCCGCCTGTCGAACGGATTTAGGCCAAGAAGCAACAGGTTGCAAAAATATACAACCTTCGACGTCTAGGACGAGAGCCCTACTCCACACTCTCCGTAGCGAAACAACAAACCTTAATAAGTTAAAGCCATTTACATGTGAGGGTGCTGAACATGGTCGTGTGGGTATAGGGAGACTTGTTGAGGAATACATTTATTGCCATGTACTTGAATACTGTTTATACAACTGAGACGAATGTTACAAATAAACAGGGTTTGAAAACAATGAGGATATTATTTATGAAATACCACAATGAGAACCATCTACGCGGTTTATTCCCAATCGAGGACACTTGACCTTCTCAATACTCCGCCATTTCGCCCGGGAGTCGCGATTCTGGTAATTGGCCATGGTGCGTTAATTCGTATAATTAATTAACTGAGAATTTTTTTAAATGTATAGCCTTTACTTGGTCGAAAGTACGTTATTCAAATGGCACGTGTTTACATGTGGGTGGAAATATACGTCGGACACGCAACACCTACGGAGAAATATTCAGTGCTTATGTACATTCAAGAAATACCATATTTTATTAAAATATTTACAATTTGTATGGTGTTTGTTTAAAACTAGAAATGGGTTTAATTTACTATACTAATGTGATTTATGATCTGATTCACCCGCGGTATTAATGCTTGAGGTATAACAGCAAATTAAGTTCCCCAAATATGTTAAACATCTCGAAGTGCTAGCCTACATTCTTCCCACACCTTGAGCCGCAGGCTGACGTGTACGCCATGTCGCGTGGACCTGGAACGGTCTACATACGCATACCTGTTGACCAGGCGCATTGCGCAACTCTAACCGGTTCTTTGACAATCAAACTTGCTGAAACCACAAGTATGCTTGTGTTTTTTTTATGTCCATGTGATGCCATTACGTGTCATTACTCTGCCTGGCAAATAGGTAGGGTTCACACCCACGTGTGTGCTTGACATGAGCTGTCACCCCTTTCCGTAGATCTAGTGTAAGTGAGTTCGGCCAACTCCCTTTTCCCATGGTGACAAAATGACTAAACTCGACTAAACTATAATTCATCACACCCATATAAACTGATACATGTTATAAGCCGACTTTACTTATAAGCTATCACCTCTATATCACACATATGTATATGTACTATGATCACGTAATATAATGTTCTATCGTCATTAATATCACATAATAATATGTAGTATTGTATAATATAATATAGTTCGACATCAGTATCACAGAATTAAGAAATAAACCTTCTCTACCCCCATGTGTAGTGTAGAAAACTATAGTTTGCCATGTACTTTTATAGTTACAGCACGAGGATGCTTGCGTGGACGACCGCTTCATCATTCTGTAACATCTATAGTAAGCCGGCTTTATCACAGGTATCACGGCTCTACCACCGCTATATATCAACACTGACATCATAGAATTCCCGTTACTATCACATATTTATGGCGGATGTCAAATACAAGATATTCATTATGTATTCGGTATTTCAGCTTCAGGGATTAGCTCGTCACGCCTAAACCGGGTTCGACTCCCGATTTGTGTACATAATGTGCAAAGCAAATTTCTGGTGGCGTGAAAACCTCACACCCGTACTCACTTGGATTTGTGTGACTATTTGACTATGGTCAGTGGTTCAACATTTTCATATTTTCACTCTCTCAATTCTCTCTGTCAAAAAATTATTTTACTGTCATTGTGTGACGTGATTGGACGTGAATATTGTGCTAATCAACTTGTCTCATTTAACATTAATCACGAAAAAGGCAGGGACAAGCCGAATGATTAAATACTTGGCTTCGATACTCAACGACCGGAGTTCGATTCTCCACATGGGTACAGAGGTACTTAATCATTTCTCAGATTGGAAATGAATAATCCTAAAAGCGGCGTGAAACACGACTCACTCACTCCACCATTAGAAGCTAAGCAATCAGAAACCACTGCTCACATGTCTGAAAAGATCTTCTCCTCCCTACACAGAGGTAAAGGGAGGTCGCCAATATCGTCAAGCATTTTTAGCCTCGCGAGTCTTAACGAGACTCTCCCCGTATTTATCAGTGGTGGTTTCTGGACTGTATATATTCTGAGCTTCACACAGTACATTAAGAATTTACTAAATCACAGACCAGTAGGTTCAACCACGGCCACTGTTGGTGAGGAGTCGCGCGCATGTGCCCATGCATCTGATCAGAGCACGTGGGTAAATGTGTGCTCTTACGTGCGTTTACTTCCGGTTACGGCTTTTATACACCTACACTATGTACAAATTCAGTGGTTTAATAACACACTTACGTTCGTGAAACTATGTTATGTATGTGTTCATGTAGACAAATTATATTTCTTTGACTGTCGTAAACAAAATGTCATTGATATATGAACTTGTTTAAAACGTCATTATCTTGTTCTTTGAATAAAATATGAATTAAAATTGTTATGCTCTCTTTAGTGTTAATAGCTATAATGTGTAAGCAAGTCGCTTTTTGTAATCTTCCTTGACTACCACAGTGAGGGACACCAGATATGGGATTCAAACATCGTATCGATATGGGTAAGAGTGAGTGAGTTTAGTTTTACGCCGCCCTCTGAGAATAATCGAGTCTGGACCAGACAATCCAGTGATCAACAGCATGAGCATCGATCTAAGCAACCGATGACATGTGTCAACCTAGTCTGACCACCCGATCCCGTTAGTGGCCTCTTACGACAAGCATGGGTTACTGAAGATCAATATTCTAACCCGGATCTTCACGGGTTATGTGGGGAAGAAACCTGCGGCATTCGTCGAACGGACGCTTTAACCACTGTGCCGCCCCACCATCCTTTCAACCAATGGCCACATGGGCACAATTTGTGAAGCCCATTTCTGGTGTCCCAGACCGTAATATGGCTGGAGTATTTCTAAAAGCGGCGTAAAACCATAATGACTCATTCACATCAATGACACTTAAGCTTCTTGTAGCCTTGTTCGCACGTGCCATGTGTTCATTTAGTGCCTCTGATAGTATAGTCGCAATGCGTGGTAAGGGTTAACGTTAATTGTTAACTTGGTAATAGGGTTAACGTTAATTATTAACTTGGTAATAGGGTTAACGTTAAGTGTTAACTTGGTAATAGGGTTAACGTTAAGTGTTAACTTGGTAATAGGGTTAACGTTAAGTGTTAACTTGGTAATAGGGTTAACGTAGCCTTGCTCCAAGGCTGTACTGAAGGCCAAGCACATGTATGTATAGTAGGCCCTAATTCTACTCTTTAAAGAGGCATGTCTAGATAAGCGGACAGTACAAAGACACCAGTGTGTTCAAGGGATATTTATATTTTTTAGACATTATCATTTAACCATGAAACATTACCTTAGTCTAAGGCTAACGTTAAGCTTTTATAAGTTACACCTTGCAGTTAAATAACAATGATGGCGAAATGTACATGGTTGCGTGGAACATGTTATGTGAATATGTATTTGCTTTACAAGTGGCTATAGAGGTAAACAGTAATTTTGTTCAAAAGTGAAACAGTTTTCAGTGGTCAGCTTATATCCAACACACATTGTTAGTGTCTGCAGCGTTTGACCAGATAACAATTGAAGCGTCTTAAAATCATCTACTTAACAGGAACGAGTACAAAGGAATTACAAAACGACTGATAATTATTTGGAATTGTGTGAAACAAGACCGTCAAACATGTGTTTTCACAAACTCAGGAGTGGAAAATCAATTAAACATAATTAATACATTGAAACCTGGTCTGAATGCTAGTTTAACTAAACTACTTTTCCATAGTACCGTTTAAGTTAGACCAATGGTCTAGGTTTAACTAAACCAGGACTAGCACTAAACCTGACTAAACCTGGTCTAGGAAAAACCTGCTTCGAACTTGTGGCCCTTATAATTGAGACAAGGACAGATAACTCTAACATATTTTGCATAATATATTTTCAAGCTTCAACTATTAATATATACATTCACACGTAATGGGAGCAACGTCGTGAAGCGGTCACAAGCCGGAGATGTCATAGTACTCTTGGAAATAGTGTGTTTCAATATTTGGTTTAAACCCTCAAATGATGTGTCTAGTTCTATGAAGGTCTTTGGGCTAGCCTACTTACACAAAAGTACATTTGTTATTTGTTTAATTCAATAACGATGGAAATTTTAGGACAAACGTTTATGGATGAACAACCTCTATATTTAGGCCATGAACCCGTGAACTAACGGGATCGGGTGGTCAGACACGCTGACTTGGTTGACACATGTCATCGGTTCCCAATTGCTAAGATCGATGCTCATGCTGTTGATCACTGGATTGTCTGGTCCAAACTCGATTATTTACAGACCGCCGCCATATAGCTGGAATATTGCTGGGTGCGGCGTCAAACTAAACTCACTCACTCACTGACCGCCTCCGTGGTGAAGTGGTTAGAGCGTCCGCCCGGAGAGCGGAAGGTTGCGGGTTCGATCCCCGCCCGCTTTTAACCAAAATACGTTAAAATATGGTACTTGTTGGTCCCTGCCTGGCGCTCGGCATTAATGGGTACAACAAGGACTGGTCGGCTCGGAGTCAGTATAATGTGTATTCATGCTTCACTGCGGCATGGTATCTCAGTGGGCTAGCACTATAAAACCAGCTTCAGTCTGGGCTAGAACAAGCAGCCGCACCACACACACGCATGCATGTCGTCATGTGAGCGAAATATTCTCCAGCGCGACGTTAAACCCAATTTCACCTCACTTTCACTCACTCACTATTTAGGCCATGCGACGTTTCGATACTGATTCTTGTATCGTTGTCAATGAGGTATTGTTATTTGTTAAAACTATGTTTTTGTTATGCCATTATTATGTTAATAGTACCACAGACAACCCAGCGCAAAAAAACTTTCACCCTGGATTTGCATAAAAAATCAGCATTTCTCTTGAATGT